TTCACCATAGGAATTTTTCTGAGTATATTTGCCTGTGCATTTTAGATGTTCAAAACCTTAGGAGTCTCAGGTTTTCTTATAGTTAAATCCAATAGTCTTGATGATTTTTGTTTTGTTTTGTTTTTGTTAATTCTGATAAAAAGTAATTTTTAGTTGAATTTGATACCTACCTTGGAAGCCTGGGAACGTAGCTTAGTGGTAGAGTGGCTAACCATGAGTGAAGCCAGGAGTTCTATCCTGAGCATTAAAAATGACTATCTTGGGGTAGAGTAGAATCAGTTCTTGTAGTTTTTCTGTTGCTTCTGTGTTTAATTGGTGCAGTTATAGGAGAGATGAACTCTTTTGGCATTCATTTGATGCCATCAGTTTGAATGTTTTCTCCCCTCTCGGTAGAGTACAGTGTCTTTCTTACTTTTTTTTTTTTTATCCAAAATGTGTTTATTGGGATGGTTCCCACTCATCTCGAATCAGGTGCTTTTCAGTGCTGCTTCCTCCTGAAGGAGCATCCTTCTGTCAGTCTTGCTTTCCCACCTGTAGGCTGACAAAGGACAGTGGAGCAGCCGACACACAAGACTACTACCGCCTTTAGCATGGCTAAAGACCGTGGTGATTTTATAGTATCCTGGGCACTTCACATCCATAAAGTAGGAATTGGGGCTCTGCACCAGGCACTTTTTCTTGTGTTTCCTCTTTTCCTCTGGAGAGGGATGAAGGAGATCCTTTGCAAGAGGTATGTTCTCGTAGGGAGGTCGGCACTGCCAGAAAGGCTTTTTCTTACATTTTATATTGAGTATTTCCAGACTCAGTAGCTACAGTTTCAGCCAGTGTTTAGCTCATACCTGTAATGCCTAATTTTTAGGAGCTGAGTCAAGTCTGCAATACAATAGAATTGTATTGACCCTATCTCTAAACAAAACAACTAAAATAGTAAGTCATTAAGACAGTTGATCAGATGTAGAGCATATGCTCTACATATGTGAATATGCCTAGCATGTGTTCAATCCCCAACACCAAAAGAAGTATGAAACATCATGTAGGGAACTTTGGGAGCATGTAACAAGAGTGACAGAAGGAGATGTGAGCATGGTTGGCTACTAAGTGGACAGTGGTGTGTTCTTGCTGCAGTTCATGGAAGGAACGCTTTCACATTTCAGGAAGTTTCATCTGCTTATTATTCAGTGTTCCTTTATACAACTGCTGACACAACACCAGTCAAGAACTCCTGTGTTAGTTAAGCTGATATCTCTGTGTTTAAAATATTTTTGCATAACAATTTTATTATAGAGAAAATACTAATTATTAATATTAAATTATTGTAATGTTGGCTTTATTCACAGAGTCAGAATTCCTAAGAACCTTGCTATTGGGTGATCTGCTAGTTTCATGATTATGGATAGATTAGTTGCTCTGTTTTAAGAAAGAACTCCAGTATTTTTCGTAGTTTGTCTAGGTGAAAACGTTATTTGTTTTAGATTGTGGTATAATGGTGTACTGCTTCTGAAAGGAACTCTTACTGAGTTATCGAGTTCTTTTAATGTATTTAGTATTTTTAGTATGTACTTGGCATTTTTAACATTTTGAAGATGATTGTCTTTCTAAATTTTTTCTTTTTTTAAAAATTTTATTTTATGTGTTTTTTTCTTTTTTTTTTTTTTTTTTTTGCCTAAATGTATGTTTGTGTTGAGGGTGTCAGAAACCCTGGGACTAGAGTTACAGACAATTGTGAGCTGCCATGTGGGTATTGGGAATTGAAGCCAAGTCCTCTGGAACAGAAGCCAGTGTTTTTAACCACTGACCCATCTCTCTAACCCTTTTTGCTTTCTTTATTGTATACATGTGAGCATACACCACAGTGGGTATAGTGATCGGAAGGATGACTTTTTCTCCTTCCTTGAGGGTTCCAATAACGAAACTCAGATTTGTTTGTTTGTTTGTTTGTTTATGTCTGCTGAGCCAACTCACCTACCTAATAAATAAGTGGTCATTTCTTATGACATAATTTGTTTGATAACTGAACTGAACTTTCATTAAGGTAAAGTAATTGAAAGTTATCTTCATGGACTTAGAATTGGTTCCTAGTTACACACATTGTTTGTTTTCCCTTTTTGGAGTTTTGGGTGGGGGTATTGAACAGGGTATTCTGTAGTGTAATATGCCGTTTGTTGGTTCCCAGCTGCTCAGCCCTGAAATAATCACACAGAAACCATGTTATTTGCAATAGTGTTTGACCAATAGCTTAAACATGTTTCTGGCAAACTCTTACATCTTAATTTAACCTATATCCATTAATCTGTGTATTAGGTCATGGCCTACCAGCAAAGTTTCAGCGTGTCTGTCTTGGGTGGAGGCTCCATGGCTTCTCTTTGACTCTGCTGACTCTGTCCTTCTTTCACCCACCATTCAGTTTAGTTTTCCCCGCCTACCTAAATTCTGCCCTATCAACAGGCCAAGGCAGTTTCTTTATTCATTAGTGGTAATGACAACATACAGAGGGGACGTCCACATCACTTGTAGCCCAAGCTGCCCTGAAATTCCCAGTGTAGCCCAGGCTAGCTACAAGTTAATGAGTCCTTTTTATGAGTGCTAACATAACAGGTGCTATGCCTGCCTCTGCCTCTTAGTTCTTGGCATTTTGAGACAGGATTTCATTCTGCATCTCAGGCAACCCTGGATCTCAATAGACAATCCAAAGCTGGCCTAGATGGCAGTCCTCCTGCCCCAGACACTACTGAATGTTGATAATACAGGCATGTGCCACCACACTAGTCTAAAATGGAATATTCCATAGGATATTTTCTAGTATCAAAGTTAAAGGAGAGGAATTGCAGAAAATCAAGTTTATTTCCCACCGTCTTCTCACATAGACCAGTACACACAATAAACATACGAAAATGACCCTTGGGCATCATGGCACACCTTTAATTCTGACACTTCTGTGTCAGAGTCAGACAGATCATTAAATTTGAGGCCAGCCAGGGCTACATAGTCAGAACTTGCATATTTGTGTTTGTGTGTGTGTGTTTATATAATTTTTTTTCTTTTTAGAATTAGGATCTGGTGTCCTGAGTTCAAACTCCAATTCTCACAGTGGTCTTCTCAACTAAGCATACACACAAAAAATATAAGAAATTTGTTTTTAAAAAGAACATATAATTTCACAGAGACTAACAACATGCACAAGAACTGTTTAAGTTCAAGACAGACAAAACCCAAGCAAGAAGGGAAAGTCTCATCCCTAACTACAAAGAAGCTATTTTTCAGTTGATGATGGGGGGAAAGGGAAAATGAATTTCATCCAGTGGGTGACACTGGGTATTAGCAGCTACATTCTAGCACATGCACCATGCCTAAGAGTAGTTGACCAATGTAAAATGGACTTCATGGTGTTTTTTTTTTTTAATGCTTTTTGTTTTGTTTTGTCTTACTGCATTTGTTTAGATTTGATTGAATTTTCAGTTTTTTGAGTGGAGAACGTGAAGTTTGGGGGCATGGAGAATGTGGAGGAAGTTGAGAGGGTGTCCTAGTTAGGGTTTCTGTTGCTACATCTAACACCATAGCGTCCTCCTTGAAGAGGAAAAATTTATTTGGCTTACGCTTCCTGATCAGAGTCCATCATTGGAGGAAGTTAGAACAGGAATTCAAGTGGGACTGGAACCTGGAGTCAGGAGCTGATGAAGGGGCCATGGGGGGGAGCTGCTTATTGGCTTGCTCAGCCTGCTTTCTTATAGAACCCAGACCATCTCTCTAGGGATGACACCATACATATTAGACTGGACTATCTCCCCCATTGGTCACTAGTTGATGCCTTACAGCTGCATCTCACTGAGACATTTCCTCAACTGAGACTCCTCCTCTGATGGCTCTAGCTTGTGTCAAGTTGACACACAAAACCAGCCTGTACAAAGAAGAATGAATATCATCATACGAAAAAAAAATTGTAAAGAGGATATTGATGTAAGGGCTTGGTTTTAGGAAACACAAGCTCTTTAGATGTTTATTGTTTGTGTGTAATTGTATACATCTGTGGGGGTTTTGCAGGAGAGGGTGATTGGTTTTGTGATGCCTCGTGTGAATCAGGATGGCCTTGAACTTAATTATATACCAAGTATTGACTTTGAATTTCTGGTCTTCCACCTCTTGTGGGCTAGGCTTACCATCATACACCACTGTACCCAGCTTAACATGCCACTGGGGATCTAACCTAGTTTTGTATATGCTAGGCAAGTACTCTACCTACTAAGCTACATCATCAGCACCTCCCACTTACTTTCAATCACCTCTAGATACTTATAATACCTGAAACAATGTAAATGCTATATAATAATGTGGTAAAAGTGTTGTGTGCACATTATTTTTTCCCCCAAATGTTTTCAATCCATGTTTGGTTGAAAGCATAGATTCAGAAGACTGGATGTATTAGTTTTTTTCTCTGTTTCTTAAATTGTAAAGCTGGTTTTTTCGTTTTGTTTTTTCTGTTTATTGGATATTAAACTGAAGTTTGGGGTAGACTAGGCAAGCATTGCTTGCCGTATAATTTTAAAATGTAAGAAAGAACTTAATCTGATTTCATTACTAAGGTCTTTTATGAAGAAATGTACTTATCTAGCTTTTAAGCAAGTTTACTAGGTTTACAGGGTTGGGGCTATCAGGTCGCTTAGCAGGACCTGAGTTTGTTCTCCCATAGTGCAATAAGAACGTTAATTCCTGATAGTAGTGTATATCCATTGATTACTCAATAAATATAATTTTTTTTAAGTTGATAGTCTGGCATTTGGTTCTGTTGATAGAGCTTTTGTCTAGCATGCCTGAAGCCCCGAGTTCCATCCCCAGTGCCACACAAACTGCTTATGATATGGTACCAATGGAGAGGTAGAGGCAGGAGAATCAAAAGTTCAAGGTCATCCTTGACTATGAAATGAATTCCAGGTCAACCTGGCCTTCATGTCTTATCAAAAAGTTGAGAAAAAGGATAAACTTATTACAGATATTTTCTTTTTCAGCTGCCTTTCTAACCCAAACTGTGTGTCTTGATGATACAACAGTAAAATTTGAAATATGGGATACGGCTGGCCAAGAACGGTATCATAGCCTAGCACCAATGTACTACCGAGGAGCACAAGCAGCCATAGTTGTGTATGATATCACAAATGAGGTGGGTATAAAATCTACCCTGAAACCAGTTTGAATAATCATTTTAGTATTCAGAATTTGGTTAAAGATTTTTCGAAATTCTTTGTAGCCACTCATAACATTTCTGCCAAAGTTTTTGTGAGTGAGATAGATAGATAGATAGATAGATAGATAGATAGATAGATAGATAGATAGATAGATAGGAAGGAAGGAAGGTGTCTAATTGATAGAGGGGTCCTAAGAATTTTCTTCCCGCAGAGTCATGCTAGAACAGTGCTCTCAACCCCTTTATGGGTGTGATTGACCTTTTCATGGGGGTCACCTAAGACCATCCTGGATATCAGATACTGACGTTATGGTTCATAACAGTAGCAAAAATACAGTTATAAAGTAGCAATAAAAATAATTTTATGGTCAGGGATCACCACAACATAAGGAACTGTATTAAAGGTTCACAGCATTAGGAAGGTTGAAAACCACTGCTCTAGAATTTTTAAGCCTTGTCTCATAAAGCTGCTTCCTAACTCTGTTTTGAGCCTGTGCCAAATAACTTTTTCTTTATTTAACCAGGAGTCCTTTGCAAGAGCAAAAAACTGGGTTAAAGAACTTCAGAGGCAAGCAAGTCCTAATATTGTGATAGCTTTGTCAGGAAACAAGGCTGACCTAGCAAATAAAAGAGCTGTTGACTTCCAGGTATGTGCCATTTTACTCTAATGTACAAGCATATTTTTTTGTAAATACTTGAAAAGAATTGAAAGCATAGGCTTTTTAAAAAACAAATACAAAATACATACATAAAATATTTTTTCTGATAGTATCAGGGATATAGCTCAAACGTAGGTGGATGGGTGAGTGGATGGGTAGCTAGATAGATAGCATTTGTCTGGCATGTGTGTGTGTGTCTTGGGTTCTATCCTGAGCCACTGCATAAACCAGAGATTGTAGCACATATAATAACCAGGGGAAATAGAAGCAGGAAGATAGTCTGGGCCACATGACACCCTGTCTCTTACCCAAAAAATAATTTCATGAAAGATTGTACAAATAAGACTCTGTACCTTCCATCCCTCCACTTTCATATACACACCTGAGAAAGACTAATGTTCTTCAACTTTCTCATGTATTACATATATTACTACACATACATACAGACATATGCATGCACATTTAGATAGCTATCCTTAAAAAGAAATTAAAAAATAGAAGTTCAACTGTTCTTCATTCGAGGCCCAGCAATGTGACTTAGCACATAAAGGTTCTGAGTTCTATGCCTAGAAATGCAGATTGTCCTCTGACCTCCATATGCATACTAGCACATACGTACCCCAAGCAAAGGCATACATACATGCATACACACATATATTTAAATAAATAATAGTATTGTGTATGTGTAAAAATAACAGTGTTGAGCCAGGCGTGGCAGTGCATCCCTATTATCCCACCACTTGGGTGACAGAGGTAGGAGGATTACCAGAAGTTTGAGACCATCTTGGTCTTCTGCGTAGTTACATGGCAATCGGGGCTGCACAGTAAACCCATCTCAGAAGAGAAAGAAGAAGTGGGCGGGGGGAGCCTCAAATGTATGAGAGGCCTCATGGGTAAAAGTCATGACATCCTGAATTTCCAGAACTGAATACTGACTACCTGCAAGTTGTCATCTGACCTCTAGTGTGGTCTCCTTTATCTCCAAATAAATTAGTGTAAAAGAAATTTTTTAAGACTTCCAGTTTGTATATATTTAAGATAATTAATTCAGAATGTCCTCCACTACAAAACAGTGTATAAATGAATGCTGGTCATTTAAAAACGAAACAAATTGTTCTAGATTTATAAAAGCTGTTTCTATTTCTTTCTCATAGCTGTGGCCTAAAATGTAGATCAGTGATGGAATTCTTTCTTCCTGATATTACAGGGATAGAGAGAAAGGAAGCTACTGTTGCATGTTAAGCAGAACACTTTGCACTTGTAGCTTCATTTAATTCTTAAGACAGCCATGTGAAGTCTGTTTTCTGCTATGCTGTCCAAACAGTTAAGTTCCCCAGCAAACATGTTAGAGAGCTTCCGTTATGTTCAAAAGTGGCCCTGTGCTCTAACAGCTCAAAGGGGACTCAGTTGTTCCTATTCAGAAGAGCTGTGGGGACACCAAAGGCAACAATATAGGTAAGTTGGAAAGTGTGACAGAAATAGAAGGCAGTTTTAATTTTGAAGGGAATTGTTCATAATATAGTTGGAATTTCAATGCTGTGTGTCATTAAAAATTAAATATGAGGTTATTATTCTGTAGTTATTACAGTATTAAGACATTGGATTTCCATTTTCATTGCAAATTCTATCTTTATCTTTAAAGGGCATAATAAAAATTGCCATTGAAATTGAAGCGATGACCAAAAGTCTCATAGGCAAAAAGTAAATGTTAAAAAAAAAAATATGGTGAGCCGGGTGCTGGTGGGCAACTCCTTTAATGCCAGCACTCGAGAGGCAGAAACAGGTGGATCTCTGAGTTCGAGGCCAACCTGGTCTGCAAGAGCTAGTTCCAGGACGGGCTCAAAGCTACAAAGAAACCCTGTCTCAAAAAAAACAAACAACAAAAAAAAAATTATTGCACTCGTTGTTTCTTCCTTTGCCGCAGCATATTCTCTGGCTGTTAGAAATAAGTAATCAAGTAAGAAAATCTATAAAATAAAGCAGGTACAGTATATGTTCAAGGGAAAAATCCTTTTTTATCAACAGGAAGCACAGTCCTATGCAGATGACAACAGTTTATTATTCATGGAGACATCAGCTAAGACATCAATGAATGTAAATGAAATATTCATGGCAATAGGTAAGATTAATAATATTTTCAAATGATAAGCAAAATATATTGAATATTTGGTTCATGCCCTCTAAAACATTATTTGGTTTTCTTAACTGGTTATACTATTTTTTTTTAGATCCTTTTCACTAAGCACTATTTTGTTAGGAATACTGTAAAGACTGGTTGGGAACAGGACATAGTGGCCAGCCTGGGCATAAGACCCTGCCTCTTAGTATGGTCTTATTGGGGTCTTAGAATGGGGGAAGAAGAAAAGATTTGGACTGTCAGAAGGTTGCACCTCCTCTCCCGCCTTTTCCAATTTTATGAATTAAACTGAGAGTCTCCAGCAATCCCTGTGCCTACCACTAAACTACATTCCCAGCCCTTGTAATGTCAAATTTATATTTATTCATGAATTCAGTGAATATTGGGTTATATAATACAGATAAATTAAAAGTTGATCTCATCGATAAGAGGTAGATTTTCCAAAGGTTTCACTGAAAAGTCCGAGCAAATAAAAGTTTTTCTGGACTGGAGAGATGGCTCAGTAGTTAAGAGCACTGTCTGCTCTTCCAAAGGTCCTGAGTTCAATTTCCAGCAACCACATGGTGGCTCACAACCATCTGTAATGAGATCTGGTGCCCTCTTCTGGCCTGCAGGCAGAGTACTGAAAATACTGTATACATAATAAATAAATAAATCTTAAAAAATAAAAAAAAATAAAAGTTTTTCTGTGTACAATAGTACCTCTTATCTATAGCGATGCCTGAAACTGGGTAGCTTAACAAGCTTTTAATTTGATACTTTTTCTGTCCTAAGTATATCAAGAGATGGAATAGCAAAAATAGCATAGATTTCATTTTTCCCATTTTTACAAAGATTCTCTTCTGCCTGGGAAAATGATCAAACCGCAAACTTTAAATATGGTAGGCAGGTACTATACTATTGAACTACATCCGGTGTTGAAAATTGTTTTCTGAATTTGAGTTTTGTTGATGGCTGAGTTCGAGTTTAATCTTGGTATATCTAGCTAGGCTGGACTAGAATTTGTGCCTCAGACTCCTGAGTGCTGGGTTTATAGGTGTACCAATAGACCTGGCATGGAAGTTTCCTTTTTATTTTATTCTTTGTTTTGATTGTTCTGTTGTTGCTTTGGGATAGGATCTGAGGATGACCTTGTACTTGACCATTTTGTTTTGTTTTTCTAAGACCGGAATTCTCTGTAGCTTTGGAGCTTGTCCTGGAACTAGCTCTTGTAGACCAGGTTGGCCTTGAACTCACAGAGATACACCTGCCTCTGCCTCCCAAGTACTGGAATTAAAGGTGTGGGCCGCCACCACCTGGTGTTGCGCTTTAAAGGCCATTCTAAGTAAATAAGTGTTACCTGAACATGAACACTGTGCTGCCAAGGTAGTCTGATAACCAAGCTGACTACTACTAGGTAGGTAGTTGGTACATAGTGTTGGTGTGTTAGACAGTGGTGTCAGGAAGGTGGGGACAATGTAGGAGTTCAGTATGTGTCTTTTGTTTCATAAACACCTGCATACAAGTGCTCTTGTTTGTGTGAGTATACATGGAAGCCAGAGGTTAGCATGGAGATGTTTTCTTGCACTATTTCTCCATGTTTGATTTTTAAACACTTATTTTGTGTGTGTTCCACGGCACCAATGCAGAGGGCTGGACAATTTCTGGAGGTCTACTCCTTAGACCGTGTAGGTTCCAGATATGGAACTGATGGTAAAGTTTAGCAAACCTTTACCTCCTGAATCATTGTTTTGAGTCTGAGTCTTTCAGTGAGTCATTGAAAATCCCAAGATCATTCTTTTCCTACATGATCCACCCCCAGTGCTGGAGTTACACGTACGTTCATGTTTTTATATGGGTGCTGAGGATCCAAACTCAGAACTTCATGGTTACACAAAAGCATTCATTAACTGAATCTGTTTTAGTTTTTCCAGACAGTCTTACTGTATAGCCAAGGCTAGCCTGCAACTCCAGATCTTCCTGCCTCAGTGTCTAAAGTGCTGGGATTATGGAATAGAGCCACCATCCCTTTACACTTGTTTAAGACCTGAAGGCTGGGGAAGTAGCTTTGTGCTACAGCACTTGTGTTGCATTCCCAAAGCTCAGTTCTATTCCTAACTTCCAGAGTTTGTTTCAAATTAAACTCCCTTCTTTAAAGAAATCCCCAGTGTAAATGGAACCTTGCTCTTTCCTTGATAGTTAGCCTCTCAAATCACATAATACAGTCCAATTACAGAAGCAGTCCTTTTGCTGATAACTTTCTTTCTCCTCTTGATCTCAGTCAGATGTAAATACAGAAAGTCCTTAGAGCAGTAGGCTACAAGGAGAAATTACGCATATTCCAAAACCCAATTCAGTATTTATTATAATACAGTCTGCAGTCTAGCTTATTCTGTGTTCTTAGTAGTGTTGTTAATCCATCCTGGGCATTGCTTATAAATAACATCTGACTGAACGTTCGTTTTTATTGTACTTTATGGTACCATCTCTATAGCCTAACATAGGGTGGCTCAGTGAAAATTTTTTTGTTTTTACAAGCGTCAATGCTTACTGGACCTGCTTCTAGCACCTGAAATTCTGAAGATAATATTGATACAGGGAAAGTAGGGAAAAATGAAGTGTTAAAAAATGCAGGATGAGGGTGTATGGCTTCGTGGTAGCTGTTAACTTGTGTAAAGTGTACAAGCCCCAGGTTTCCTAGCACAAAACAAACAGGGTCCAGAATTCCAGATGGGAATTGGATATAAAGTACTATTCTTAGGAATATTGCTACTTTGTCTCAGGATTAAACCATGGATCTAGCAGGTGAATTTTTAGTGGGAAACATACTCCACAGAACCACCGAGCTGTTTGTTGTATATATTAAGTCTCACTATTTGTAAATAAGATGGAGGCTTTCATAGCCCAAGAGGGAAAAACTTAGATGTTTGAAGGGTTTGGAAGCCAGGAAGGAAGTAGATGCTGTGTGTCATATAATTCTGTTTGCTGATTAGGTTGCACAATAATGGACTAGTTTGTTTGGGTTGATGTAGTGGTTATATTGATAGAATTTGTTCATATATTGATAGGCTAGTTCTCAGAATTATTTGGGGCAACCCAGAGAATGTTATATGAGCTTCTTTAGAAACTTTATAGCTGGCCATGGTCTATTGACTGGATTTTATGTCTTGTTTGGTTTTGTTTTTCAAAATGGAGTTTTAATATGCTACTCAAGGCCAGTTTTAACCTCCTCAGCTCAACTGATTGTCCCAATTCATTCTCCAGAATGAATCATGAGAATTACAGTCATGTCCCACCATGTCCACCAGATTGTATATAATAGAAATTTAATGATTATGAAAGTCTGAATGTAGCTACGTGGTAGTGGCCTTGCCTAGTTTGCCCATGAACCAGCACAACACAAAATATTAATAAGTAAGAAAAATGGTCTTTCTTAGGGAATTGATATAAAAATTGTGTATAGTTCTAGTTAAGTTTAAAATTGTGTATGCTTACAATTGGCTTCTACCTGCTCCTAAACAAACACTAAACAAATTTAGTACAGCAACCAGTAGGGTCCTTTTTGGGGGTTATTTGGTGTTTTGCTTTGCTTTCTGGCATTTAGTAGATAATAAGCATTTGAAAAGAACAAACATAAGTCAATCATTTGAAACTTTAGAGATAACCCAACTGAAAAAGTGTATTATAAATAAGCAAGTCTAAGTGATTTTAATATGACTATTATAATTTTATTTTGGTCATTTATTTCTTAGCTAAAAAGCTGCCAAAGAATGAACCACAAAATCTAGGCACAAACTCGGCCAGAGGACGAGGAGTAGACCTTACTGAGCCTGCACAGCCAGCCAGAAGCCAGTGTTGTAGTAACTGAACTCCAGTGTGAACTTCCTAAATGGCAAAACCCGTGAAATGGGAGCATTTAGCCGGCCCAGTGTGACTTCAAAAAAGAGACTTTTGGTAGAATCAAGTTTCTAATACTGAATTATTTTGAGTGTTTTGACTTAATTTTTAATAACATGCATGTGTTCTTCCGACTAATGTTTCGGCAGTAGAAGGGGAAATGAGAACTGTGTACAATTTGTTCCATGGGAAAGTGCAGGGGAACCATTTATCTCCAGTGGGTGTGGACCCACACTTAACCCAACCAGTCTTCAAACTGGTATAATAGTCAGGTGTGAAAGATTCAGAATTACTAATATGAGCTTTAGAAAAACATTTTTAGAAGACTAAAAATATTTATGCTTAGCAACAGAAGCCAAGCAAATGGTAATTTCTTCTATTGTCTAAAAAGTGTACATTCCACATAATAATAAAATAATCCTAAGAAAACAGTCCTACATCTCCAGAAAGAATGAATATTAGTGATATCTTACTCCGTCCTGTTATTTCTTAATATTTGATTGAAAAGAAGTCATGTGTAACCCCATCTTGTTTTAGGAATATAAAACTGATAAATGCATTTTAATGGCTAGTGGTCCCTTCATGTGAGCTCTTCAACAAAGTGGAAACAAACCAGGTGTCTGATTTCTCTTTAATCACTGTTGGCCATACATAGAGGTCTGTCTGGAGCAAGGAGAGAGCTCTGGTTCCTTTTGGACATGATTAGTCAGTGCACTAACAATTATGTACATTCAAACTTGATTTTAAATATGATCTTCAACTGTACTGTAAATAGAGTACTGCGTTGTAGTTTCCATGTTTATTATTTTCTGTAATATTTAAGAATTACCTAAGCATATACAAAATGTACAGTTACTAAAACAGCTAATTATTTCTTTGTCCCCCCCTATAAAAGGAAGGGGCTTTGCTGTTCTTTCATGGCTAGAACCATAATAAAACACTGTACCTGCAATTTGTAACATAAGTATTACAATGTTCTTAGTAATAATCTTGAAGCCTTGTTTTTCAAAGTCCATTTAATTTTGATCAGTATATTGCACTAATTATTTTAGGTATTTTCATTATATGAAATCTACCATGTGTCAGATGATTTAATCTATTTAAGTGTTGATCTGCTAGCAGAACTTGTACATTTTACAGTAACTCAAAATTAGTAAGGAAAACAGTTCACCAGTGTTTAGTTTTATATTGAGGTGCTCAGGTTGGAATAAAGTGGTATAAAAAAGCAACACTGAGTTTTTTTTCTCTTTACATAAAGAAGTGAGCGTAGCACGCATGGTATATAACTGGAAGCTTTTGTATTTTCTTCTTGTTCTTAAGGATGAATCTCACAGTCATGATCTGTCCTAGAGTCTAGAGCGCTGAAGTCTTTGTGGTACTGTTTGCTGCTCTGGGTCTATGACAGCAGCTGATACTCACTCCCATTGAGAAACATTACCATAACAGTGATGCTGTCTCTGGAACCACCTTCTAAAGCAGCACTTATAAGTTCACAGCCAATGTACTCAGCTGCACCTTCATAGAAATTCTTAGCATCTAGTTCTTCCTTGCTTCCCTTCTTACTGTCTATATTGGGTAAACTGTTAGTTTCTTTATTGCTGCAAGGGTCATAATTACTCCCTTCTGGAGAAAATGTTTCTGCATTTTTAGCCTGATGAATGCAAGCTTCAGAATGTATTGAATCAGACGACCTTTTCATTAGATTAGTAGTTGACATAGCTTCTCCATATTCAGGTTTGTACTGGAACAGCACTCGGATATTACTGTCTGATGGTGAAAGAGGCTCGTTAGATGGCCAGGATTTGTTTTTAGGGCCAGAAACATATGTTTCTTTATATGCATGAAACAAGGTTATTACCAGTGCAGTGACTTCCTTCTTGTCCAGAACTTCCCAAAGCCCATTAGTGGCTACAATGAGAAACTGACATAGATCATCTAGAGGGACAGAAATTGTTTGGGGTGCTGGAATAATGAACTTCTTCAGTGTGAGGTTTCCATGGAATCCAAGACCTCTGGTGGTTTTTATGTGCCCTTCCAGGAGGCCATTTGAACTGATTACTGCTCCTCTCTGAAGGACTCTTCTTCTCTCCTTGGTGTTTCGTGTGGTGTGTTCTTTTGTCAGGCAAAACCCTTTTCCATTTCTGCATAAGACTGCTTGCACATTACCTAAAAGGGTGGGATTTTTTTTAAAGAGAGAGTTCTGATTATCAGTTTGTGTAAAAGTATGCTACTTATTCTATTTCAATACTAAACACAAAGTATGCCATGTAAATATCTTTAGAATATATAAGCTGAACACTGCACAGATATGATTTTGAACTGGAAAACCACCTAATATTTGAATATCAGTAACATTTAAAATAACTTAACTAAAACTACAGGTCTTTAAAATTAACTTCTAAATCAAATTTTTATGAAACTATTAAAATATGATTTTTACTATTTCTTAACACCTATGCAGATTTTTGAAATATTTGAATAAAGTTTTTTAATGACTAAATTATGTGTATGTGTGGGTATGTGCACATGAGGAGGGCAGAGGCCAGAAGAGAGTATTAGATCCCCCAGAGCTGAAGTTATAGTTGGTTGTGAGCCACCCATTATGGATGCTGGGAACTGAACTCTAATCCTCTGGGAATGCAGCAGGTGTTCTTACAGACTGAAACATCTTTACAGCACCAAGTACGTTATTTTAGTTAAAAAACAAAACAACACAAAACTTTGAGGATTGGAGAAAGAACCCAGCAGTAAAGAGTACACAGTGGCAGAGGGAAACTCCAAGTCTAAGAAAATCTGATGCCCTTGGCCTCTGCACCTGTATTTGTGTACACAGACACACACACATACACATAAAAGTAACAAATTCTTAAAGGAAAGCTGCCAAGCCTGATAAACATGAGTTCCATCCTAGGACCCCACGTGGTGAAAACTGGCTTCTGCGAGTTGTCCTCTGTCCTCCATACATACATAGGTGCACACAGAGACACACAAAATAAATTTTAAAAAAGAGGGAAAAAAATGTAATTGGTGAAAGTTAAAACCCGAATGTATTTAGGATGTGGATGATAAAATTGTTGAATGTGTGATTAAACCGTAAGTTCTATAAAAAAATTTCTATTAGGGAAGTAGGCAACCACATTAAATCCTGCAGTTGAAAACTGATGTCTTGTAAGAGATGGCAGTATAATGTGATTGTAGTTGAGATGAACCTGTGATGTTTACATCATATTGCTTCATTGACTGAAAGAAGAGTGAAACAAAGCGTAGTCCCAGTGGATTGAAAAGATGAGTCAACAATCAGCTGGCATAAAACCAGATAAAGAAGTTCTCTGAAGCAGCCACAAGGGGGATCCACATTCTAAAGAGAAGAGCAAGAATAACAGACAGCAATGCCAGCCAGGCCAAATGGAAGCAAGGTTCCAGCAACAGAGAAAAACCCGCCAATCCGGAATTCCACACCAGGTGAGTATTTCTTTTGAAAATGAGAGGCAAATGATATCTTAAGAATTCATCACCAGCCTGTATGGGTGGTGAATGCCGTTTTGCCTAGTACTTAAGAGGCAAGTGGATGTCAGTGAGGTGTAGGCCACCCTGGGTTACATAGTGAGTTACAGGACAGTCAGGAATATAGTAGAGAAACTCTATAAAAAAAAAAACAAACAAACAAAACATTTATCACCAGGAGACAGACATCACAGAGACCAAGGAAATTTTCCAGATGAAAAACATACCAGATGAACAAGTCTACAAAAAGGAGTTAAGAACAAGAGGAGTATGAGTTCCTAAAAGATGCAACATATTTTCTTATTGAAATAAAAAAAATGGACTGTTGTGGTAGTTTGAATATGATTGGCACCCATAAACTCAGTGGCATTATTGGGTGTGGCCTTATTGGCAGAAGTGTCTGTGGAGGCGGCCCTAAGGTCTCTTATTGCTCAAGCCATGCCCAATGAGACAGTCCATGTCCTATACAGCTACCTCTCCAGCACCATGTCTGCCTGCACACAGCCATGCAGACATAATCATAATCATAATGGATGGAACCTCTGAACCTGTGAGCTGCCACCTCTATTTTAAATGTTTTCCTTTATAAGAGTTGGTGTGGTCATGGTGTCTTCACAGCAATAGAAACCCTAATCAAGACAAATATGTAATCAAAATCATGACTGAGCCATACACATCTGTAATCCCAGCACTCTTTGAGTCAGAGATTCAAGGATGGCCTAAAATACCTAGAAAGAGTCAACACAAAATATGGTGCAGAGAGCTGGAGCAGAGTTTTAAGAGTACATACTGCTTTTACAGAGGATAACAAACAAATTGCAATGTTGAAGAAACATGGACAAATAGAACTTTTAGCCATTGCTAACTGAATAGTGTCATGGATCACCATTCTGGATAACTGATAATTTCACTCCCAGTATATGTATTTTTGTATTTTAATCCTGTAAGGATTTAATGAAGTAAAGAAATAGAAAAGCAAGAAAAATTATTAGGTAGAATATAAATGATAAGTACAAAAACTTAGCCAGAGCTGATTATAGGCTGGTATCCCAGTTTTAAGAGGCTAAGGTAGCAGGATTACAAAATCAAGACAATAGGTCAAATTCAAGACCACCCTTGAAATGTGAAATCCCATGCTAAAGTGAAAACAACAAAGTGGGCTGGAAATGTAGTTTGGTAATAGGGGGTTTGCCCAGCATCTTAGCCAGTAGAAAGCCAGGAAAACTGAAGGGAAAATGGCTATTTTACTGTTTGACACAACGTGGCCACCAAATATGAAAACAATTAATTAGGGTACTTGACCAGCATGCACAAAGGTTGTACTGGCAGTATCAAGAATTATGGCATAGGGCTGGAGAGATGGCTCAGCGGTTAAGAGCATTGCCTGCTCTTCCAGAGGTCCTGAGTTCAATTCCCAGCAACCACATGGTGGCTCACAACCATCTGAAATGAGATCTGATGCCCTCTTCTGGCCTGCATGCAGACACACAGACAGAATATGGTATAAATAATTAATAAATAAATAAACGTTTAAAAAAAAAGAATTATGGCATATATCTGTAACTCCAGCTCTCGCTCTCAAGAGGTAGAGGCAGGAGTATCAGAAGTTCAAGGAGATCCTCCTGGGTTACATAGTGAGTCTGAGGCCAGCCTGGGATACAAGACTCCTGGCACCAAAAGTAAACAAAAGTTTTCCTAACAGTTAGAATAGACCAATCTGAACAAGTATGCTGAGAAAAATCAACTTTCCAGTCTCTCAAAAGAAGGCAGTGGGTTCCTTATGTCTGTTTTTCGTTTTGATCTAGCTATCATAGGTATTCATTTTTCACATATATCAACATCTCTATTACTACCTCATTTGGAAATTTTTTAACTAAATACATGTGTATATATGTGTACACACTAAATCTTCATATATATGTATATATACACAAGTAAATGTATATATACATAAATATGTGTATATATGTACTATATGTGAGAAGATTGTGTGTGTCCATCTGAAGAAGTCAGGACAATTTTTAGGATTCAGCACTGTTCTTCGAACATGGTTTCAGGGATTGAACTCGGGTTGTCATCAGACTTGGCAGCAAGTATTTTAACACTGAGTCATCTCACCAGTCCCCTTTGGAAAAGTTAATGCTTTGTCACATTGGACATGACATGTAACATTTTCCTTCAAGGCTGAAACATTCCATCTTGCAGAGACTGCTCCTTAAGCAGAAAGGCAACAACTCAAAATAGCTTCAGGAAGTTCTTGCAACTGACCAGACTCATTAGGCCCCTCCCTCCCAGCATAAGCTGTAAAGCTGCAAAGAAGACTCAGATGAGACAAGTTGCACAAAGGCGGTGAGGCCAAACCAGCTACTTAGAAGAAGCAGAAACTAGCCTATCTGCCTGGAAAAGGTTTAGAACAGAGTCACTTGGAAAGGACACTCTTTAACCTGTTGAGCTGCCTTCAGATTTTGCAGTGTGCTCCAAGTTCCCAGCTTTTGTGAGCTGTTTACCCATGTTGGTGTGGGTTTTGGTGATGCAGCTGGCTGTGAATTATTTCTGCTCCTGTAAGTAACCCTTCGTCCATATTACTGTAAGTTACCCCAGTAAAACTCATTGGATCACCAAGTTGGACTTTGATGGTATCAGTATTTTGATCTATCATGGGTTCCTTATCTGGAGTGCGTAGATGTGTGTATTGTGTCTCCTGAAGAAGAGTTTTGTCACATAGTAATATCAGTGCCTATAAAAATAGTTTAAATTATTTATATGTGCCTGAAATCTGTATTTAAACTGAGGTTTTTGCTTCTCAATTGTTAAATGCAATGTCTAGATATTAATGAATCACTAAGTGACTCATTCTGGAAGCAAGAGAGGTTTTCTGCAGGCATTTACAATATTTAGGTGTCAAGGATACACACCAGCACTTGCAATGTGTAGTACCCCGGAGATGATCTGTGGGATCTTCTGGGAATGAAAACTCTCAACACCCTGCTGTTCTGTTTTTGTCAAGTCCTTACTAGTATATGGGTTCTTAATTGTACCCTCTAATATACAAGTGAGCGCAGAGCAGCCACTCCACCGAACCCGAGAAACCTCATTCCTTCCAAGGCGTAGAAGCCTATCCATTCTCCAAAATGCCTTTGCAAAGACTTTATGTATTTCCTCATACTCCCGTCTATGGGTTCTGAAGGTTTTGTATGTGGAAGAGAAAGCCTCTTCTTTGGCTCTGTATTCTTCCCTGAACACAGTCTGAAAGGAATCGATCAGTTGCTGCTGCTCAGCTGTCATTTGGTAGGAAGGATCCTGGTTAGACAGTTGATGGAGAAGTAAAACCTGGAATTCCTCTGATGCCAGGTCCGCTGCTGCACTGCCATGATGGCCATCGAACAAGCCAAAAAAGCACACATTGGCTTTACCACCAAAATCGTTCGTGACCGTGAATTTACTATTTGGGTCAGCTTTCCAGGTGGAATTGCTGTTGCCACAGATGGCTACCCCTTTAATCACCAGATGGCAGATATTTGGAGAATGTGTGGAAGTGTGGCCAACCTTATCACAAAGTCTGAAGTATGATGGGACTTGTTTTTTCCAAAGCAGCTCAAATGCATAATTCATACTCTGAAGGACTTTTTCACTGAACATGAAGGATGTCAGTAGGTTAGAAATCAAAAACTGTCTCTGAATACTGATCACTGAGGGCTTTGGTTTCTTCCCTCCCATCCACTGGAAACCCAGCATACTCAGAGCATTGTGATGTTTCTTATGGAGAAAAGTTCCAGCTGTGTTGATTTCTTGGTGGCAGACAGAGCAGGGGAACGTGACCATTTGACTGTAACTCAGCTGCTCAATAGACTCCTCGTGGTCACTGGGGGTTCTTGCTCTCTTGGACTTTCCCTTTTTAACACTCTTTTTTTTGCTTTGTGTCAGCGACTCATCCGAAACAAATGTTGAAGTTTTTTTATCGAACTCTTTTGATCTCCATAATACTCTGGAAGAAAGGTGAAATATGTTTACAGATCAGGAACTAAAGAGGTAGCTCGGTGGTTTAGAGTACCTGTTCTTACATGAGACCCACATGAGGTCCATAACCATCACTAACTCATTCCTGGATATCTGATGGCCTCTTCTGACCTCTGTGGACACCACTGCATGTACATGCAAACAATTAAATATTAACTATTTCAATTAAAATAGTTAAGTCTCAAGTAAAAAAGTAGGACCTTTGGAAACTACTGGACCTAGGGCCTTGTATGTGGTGGACAAGTGCAGTGTTTCTTTGTCTTTTTCTTTGATACTTGGAGACAGGGTTCCTCTGTGTAACTTTGGAGCCTGTCCTGGAACTCACTTTGTAATCCAGACTGGCCTCAAACTCAAGATTCACCTGCCTCTGCCTCCTGAGTGCTGGACCAAGGCTAACGTCCCTTTCTCTTGGGAAGAGGACCAACAGCAGGCTTTTGACAAAATAAAAAGAGTCTTCCTTTCAGCCCCCGCTTTGAGTCTCCCTGACCATTCACCTTATATGTGGATGAGAATAAGGGGGTGCCAAAAGGGGTGCTAACTCAGAGGCTGGGGCCCTAGAAGAAGTCAGTGGCCTATATCTCCAAAAAGATGGGCAATGTGGCAACAGGATGGCCCCCTTGCCTCTATGGTGGCCGCAGTAACCACCCTGGTCAAAGATGCAGATAAATTGACCCTGGGCCAACCACTGACTATGCCATAGAGACAGTTATCTGCCAACCTCCTGACAGCATAACCCACTACCAGTCACTATTACTCAACCCCCGAGCATATCACCTTTGGGAATGTGACATCGCTAAACCCAGCCACCCTGCTCCCCAATTCGGAACCCACTATTTGGGTACCTCATGACTGCCATCAGATACTTGCTGGATACCATAGAACCAGGGGAGATTTGACCGATTGCCAGCTTCCTGGTGCAGATCGTACCTGGTTCACGGATGGCAGCAGTTTCCTCAAAGAAGGTGAGCGCAAGGCGGGGACAGCGATGGTAGATGGACAGACTATTATATGGGCACAGGCACTGCCACCAGGGTCCTTTGCTCAAAAAGCAGAGCTAATAGCCCTTACCAAGGCCTTAGAACTAGCAAAAGGACAAAAAGTAAACATCTATACAGACAGCCGCTATGAGTTTGCAATGGCCCACGTTCACAGGGAAATTTATAAAAGGAAGGGATTGCTAACCTCAGCTGGAAAAAGAGATTAAAAATAAGACTGAAATTCTGGCATTATTGAAGGCCCTCTTCCTGCCAAAGAAGGTGAGCATTATTCATTGCCCAGGGCATCAAAAGGGCCATGATTCCATTGCCAAAGGAAACCAAATGGCCAATGAGACAGCTAAAAAGGCCACGTTGAACTCAGAAATATCCCTGGCAGAGGCAGCCCCCCTCCACAGAAGATTACTTCCAATATTCCGCCCAGGATCTAGAGACAATCCAGAAACTTAATGTGGACTTTGATGAACAACAAAAAGCTTGGAAATACCAAGACAAAATCGTGTTACCCAAGAAAGATGCCTCTGAGCTGGTCACATTTAGGACACAAAAAGATTAAATCTCTAATAAAAAAGACAGATTTTTATATTCCAGGTCTTAACTCCCTCATACAGCAGGTAACGTCAACTTGCATCCCCTGTGCCAACCAAGGTAAATGCAGGGTGTCAAAATGCCCCGGAGGGCATAAGAATAAGAGGAGACCAACCTGGTACTCATTGGGAAGTAGACTTCACCGAGATAAATCCGGGAAAATACAGTAATAAATATCTCCTAGTTTTTATGGACACCTTCTCTGGTTGGACAGAAGCTTTTCCCACCAAACGAGAAATACTAGATTATTTTTCCTCGGTTTGGTAATCGGGTCCGACAACGGCCCAGCCTTTGTCTCCCAGGTAAGTCAGGGTGTGACCAAGACACTGGAGATTAATTGGAAATTACATCGTGCATACAGACCCCAGAGTTCAGGACAGGTAGAAGGATGAATAGAACCATAAAAGAGACTCTGGGACCAAATTAGCCTTGGAAACTGACACTAAAAACTGGGTACAGAACCTCCCCCTAGCCCTGTTCTGTGTGCAGAATACCCCATCTCAGCTTGGACTCACCCCCTTTGAAATCTTATACGGAGGACCTTCCCCCTTAGCCTTTTTAAGGACCCCTCTTGACCCATCTACCCACAAACCTGATCTGCAGGTGCAGCTGAAGGCGCTCCAGATTGTCCAGGCACAAGTGTGGAAACCCCTGGCAGCTGCCTACCGGCCCGGACACCCCAAAACTTCACACCCATTCCAGGTTGGCAATTCTGTGTATGTCAGGAGACATGGGTCCCAGAGTCTTGAAATTCGCTGGAAGGGTCCCTACACTGTACTTATGATGCCTACTGCCCTCAAAGTGGACGGTATTGCAGCCTGGATCCACGCATCTCACGTTAAGCCAGCACCTCCACAGGATGACCCGGAATCCTCCAAATGGAAGCTTCAGCATGCTCAAAATCCTCTAAAACTAAGACTTCTCAGATCTGCCTGACCCTGCCAGTCCTGCTGGCCTTTATTCTGATGCCCTTGCCCACCTATAGTAACCCCCATGCACTCCAGAAACTGACTTGGCAGGTTTCCTCACAAACCGGAAAGGTAATTTGGATCACCTCCAAAACAGCCCTTCCAGGTACTTGGCGGCCCACCCTCACCCCTCATTTCTGTCAACTTGCAGTGGGGCTAGATTCCTGGGATATCCCAGATGCACAGCCCCAGCAGTTGCCCCTAAACGCTGGCACCTCTCCGAAAGGAGATTCTGGAGGTTCGGTTGGGTGCGGGAGCCCATGGACAAGATGCTGCTTACTGGAGCTAGGTTTTAATGTCTGCCCCGGAAAAGGCCGAAATCAGGCCACCGTCCAACATTGTGGGGGTTTAGAAAGTCTATTCTGTGCAGCCTGGGAATGTGAGACCACTGGAGCTGCTTATTGGAATCCCACCTCTTCTTGGGGCTGAATTACAGTCCACAAGTATTATTCCTCTCCAAAACAGTGCTCCAGGAAGAGCGCAGGAACCTGTAGCACCAGCCCCACTTGCTTATCCTTAAAAATCACCTTTACTCCCTAGGGGCGAGCAATAGGAACTTCAGGATGGATGCAGGGGAGGACTTGGGGCATCCAATGGTTTTTCCCAGATAGATGGGTTAGGAAAGACTTGGGTGCCGCTTTCACAATAAAATTAAAAATAGAGACTCTCAGCCGGGTGGTGGTGGCACACGCCTTTAATCCCAGCACTCGGGAGGCAGAGGCAGGCGAATCTTCTGTGAGTTCAAGGCCAGCCTGGTCACTCCCCTAGGGCAACCCCCATAGGGCCCAACCAGGTATTATCTGACCAAGGCCAGCTAGCCCGGGCTGAAATGAGCTCCCCCCTGCAGGGACCGTGAGCAACAGACCAAGCCATCAGGCCCCACCATTTCACAGCTCCCTCCCTGGAAACTCTCTTGCTTCCCTGCCAGCATTCCCTAATATGAGCCAGCGATTGTTCAACTTAGTACTGGGCGCTTTCTCCTTGCTAAATGGTACAGACCCAAACATGACCCAATCCTGCTGGCTATGCCTATCAGCAGGACCCCCTTATTATGAAGGAATTGCAACATCCGGGGATTTTAACAACACAATCAGCCAGGATGCTTGTGCTTGGGGAACCAGTAATAAGGTAACTCTTACAGAGGTTACAGGTGCAGGAAGATGTCTGGGAAATCCACTGGCTACCTACAAACATTTATGTAATATGATTCTTAAGAGCCCTAAAACTCCTAACGCCGGGTACTTGGTTCCCAATTCAGGAAGATGGTGGGCTTGTAATATGGGCCCTACACCTTGTGTGGCAACTTCGGTTTTTGATAACTCCAAGGATTACTATGTGTTCGTTCAACTAGTACCTAGGGTCTTTTATCATCCCACTGACACATATGAAGATGAATTTGACGAGCACTATCTCCCTGACTCTAGCAGTAATCTTAGGCCTTGGAGTTGCAGCCAGTGTCAGCACTGGTACTGCTGCTCTGGTGCAGGCTCCCCAATATTATAATGAATTAAGGACAGCCGTGAATGAAGACTTAAAAGCCCTAGAACTGTCCATCTCTAAGCTTTAAGAGTCGATGACCTTACTCTCTGAAGTGATGTTACAGAATAGGTGCGGATTAGACTTGTTGTTTCTCCAAGAAGGAGGACTCTGTGCTGCCCTAAAAGAACAATGTTGTTTTTACATAGATCACTCTGGAGTAATCAGGGATTCCATGGCTAAGCTCAGAAATAGGCTAGGTAAATGACAGTGAAATAGAGAGGCACAGCAAGGTTGGTATGAAGGATGGTTTAATAGCTTCCCCTGGTTCACAACCCTCATCTCCACTCACTGGTCCCTTAATCATTCTGCTGCTGCTTTTAATCTTTGGACCCTGCATCTTCAACCGACTCCTGATGTTCATTCGTTGAGCGTAAGCGGCTTAGCGTTACTCAAGCTTTAATATTAACCCAACAATACCAGACCCTTAAGAGAGATCCCTTAAAAAAAAATCCCAAGATTGGGATATGATCCAATAAAGGGAGGGCGGGTAAAAGACTCTGGCTGGGCCTCATCAGCTAAATGCCTCCCCTTCTCTGGGAACCAGGAACCTGATTATCACACATGCATGCACTAGAAACTTTGGGTACTTTCCCCCAGAATTTTCTATCCCTTTTGTACTTTTTCCTCAATAGACATAGGCCCTGGAACTGGGGTGAAGCAACCTGCTGATGTTTTTCTTTGTTCAACCAACCCAGTAATCGCCATAACAACAACCCATCACAGCTGACCATTGAGCTAATCACAATAGTTGACAAACAACTTCTGTACTTCCTTTTGATTCTGCACTCCCCTTTTTTGTTAGTTCTGTGGTTTTTCTCTTTAAAAGAAGCCTGTAATAGTTCTTAGAGGTCCTTCACCTGCTGAGGAACCTCTGGCATCAGAATAAAAGTTCCTCTTGCTATTGCATCAACTGAGGTATGAGTGGTCTCTTGGAGTGACTCTACCCCGGTGACTGGACTCCAGGGTCCAACACCACCTAAACTATATCTTCAGCCCCAAAGGGTTTAAGTTATTTTGAATAAAATATATATAAAATTTCCACTTGCTTTAAAAAATAATATGCATGTAGAGCATATAGTGTTATGAGCTATGATGGCCTTTGGAGACATAATACGAAATAATAAAACTTCACCAGCAGTTACTCTCTAATTCAGAACTTCAGTTTTCCATGTTTATGGGATAGCTATAACATAGCTCTGTCAAAAATGGAGTCATACTTAGAATGAAAACATCAGTCATAGCTCAATGTGGTGGTGCATACTTGTAATTCCAGCACCAGGGAAGCTAAAAACAGGAAGATTGCTGCAAGTTCAAGGCCAACCTGGGGTATATAGTTTAAGGATAGCTGGGCTCCAGAATGATACCTTAGCTCAAAAAAAATAAAACAAAGTATAGCTAATTAAGAGCACAGAGAAAAGAGTTAGGCACGGTTATAAATACCTGTTGCCAAGGACTGGGGAAGTGGAAGTAGGAGTATCTGAAGTTCATGGTTAAACTACATGAGATCCTGCCAAAACCAAGCAAGCAAGCCAGGAAGCAAGTAAGTAAACAAGCAGGTAAGAAAGAGAGGGAGCGGAAAAAGGAGGGGGAGGGAGAGGAAAGGAAGAAAAGTGGTGGCAGCCAGGAGGCTATGCCAGAATCTCTCTTTTGGAAAAGGTAAAGGAGTAGCTCATTCCTAAATCTGCATAGTCTAACAAGAAGACAAAGATTCACCTTTTGCTAAGAGAGTGGAGAAAAAAATTACTCTAAAGAATACTGTAAGCAAGTCAAGCAGTGGTGGCATACACCTTTGATCCCAGCATTAGGAGGATGAGGAAAGCGGGCTTCTATGAATTAAAGGCCAACCTTGTCTACAGATTGGGTTCTAGGACAACCAGGTCTACACAGAGAAATACTGTCTCAAAACAAAAACAGAAAGAATACTGCAGCCTTACATATGTGAAAGAAATCTAACTGGAGTCAATAAATAATGGGAGAGACAATGCTCCAACTAAACATTTTTCACTGCAAAGTGGAACTTCCAGTGCCAAGGATGAGTTACTTCTAATTGAGCCATTGGCCAAAGAAGCCTGAGGGAAATCTGAAAACCACAGGTTATTGCCAAAGCTGTCGGTTCTCTCTGAAAACTGTTTGTAAAGCCTTATTATTGAAGACTACATGTATACAATCACTGAACATGGAGCCTTTACCCCTGCTGACTAGTGTTCATTGTCTTAGAAGGTACTCAACATGGTATCAAAGGACAAAGCTAAACACCAACTGAGGATAACAGTGGTGACCTCCTGCATGATCCACTGGTGCAATAGTGGCACAAATGTTGTGGGAGTAGCCTACCACTGCCTGAACAGATTTACTGCTCTCTTCCTGAGTCCTAATTAGAAACCTATGGCTGACCTGAAAATAGATAGATAATGGGCCTAGGGGAGAACCAAATACTATTGTTCTGCTAAAAGCACAGCAATAAGATGACCTTAATGACATTCTGCTATACCTATAGGTCAGTATTTCATTTCATCACCATCAAAATAGCTTCCTCCTGCAATAGATGAGAATTAGTACACAGACTATAAATAACCAATGTATATATAGAGCAATTTTGGAACACTCAGTCCAAAATAGGACACATCTATTAAACTGCTTCCTTTGATGTTCCGGGATATTTACAGAAGAAGTAGAAAAACCGTAGGAGTCAGAGGTAATGGGTAACTCAAGGGAGTCAGTGTTATCAGACACAATAGGTCTGATAATGAGGCATTTGAGGTTCAACCCCAAAGTACTCTTCAGGGTTCAGATCGGATAATACAGGAAGTAAAATGAACTTTTTTCTTCATTGTATTTGAGGGAGAATGAATCCTCTCACTCCATGCTATTCCAAACAAGTCTCTTTATTCTTTTGTCTTTATTATAATTCTCCTGTCCTAATTCTAATTCCTCCCAGCTTCTCCTCTAGCCTAAAAACTCTCTTTTTACAAGAGGCTTGGAGCAACAAAAAATTTACAAAAGTTACCTCTCATTGGTCAAAAGCACATTCCTAGGGTAAGCAATAAAAAGCTGAGCCATTTACCATAGTAACACAAGGTTCTAAAGTTCCAGGAGTAAGACTGTAATCAGAGCCCAATGGCACAGTGTCCGTAGGTCTTTTATCAGCTAAACTTGGCAAGCAAAGAATTGACATGCTTTTCTTAGGTTGCTTTGTATAGCAACCTTGGTTGGACACCTGTGATTCTGATCTTGTGTATAGCTGCAAAGTTTTCAACTTATTATTTATTTAGAAGAAGCCTTTAGTCTTATTTGTACTTGCTCTGAGGTAAAAGTGAGCTGATTGTGTGCAATCAGTCTGAGCAAAAGAACAAAGCAGGCTTTTAAGTATCTACAGTTCTTGTGGGATAAATAGATCTAGTTATGAAGCATGTTCTAATATATTTTATATATCTCAATAAATGAAAAGTCATCTTCCTGACCGCCCACAGATATATGACCCAATAAAATTGAGAAGTGATCATGAGATTACATATACACATCACATGAGAGTATACACTACAATCCAGGTGGTTTTGGGGAGACACCAAGCTGCTTTAGCAAATGTAAATAACAGTTTCCAGAGTTGATGGTCCAGCAGGCTTTGGCTTAGACAGAATTAACCTCCACCAGAAAGTCACTCCTCTGGTAGGTTGACATCTAAATACTACTTGTCATCTGCAGTAATTCTCATGGCTTCTGACAGTCTGACATACAGCATGCACAAGGCCTGCACAAGTCCAAACCAGACAGGGTCCCAATGAACAATAAGAACAAACTCCATTTTGAGAAAGAACTCCATTTTAGACAGGACCTAACTAAGGGGGTGAAATGTAGCCCAGCAAAGTCGTAAACATTCCCAAGAAACTGCCCCTGCCCTGGTCAAAGTGACCCAATGGGGTGTCCAAGCAAAATCTGCTTGCTTCAAACCTCCTTGTAGGTACCTGGTTAACCACTGTTTTGACTGTTTTGAAATTCCCCTATACCCCAAACAACAAATTCAAAAGTTGTATATTTTACCCAATCCCAGAATGCCAAAGTTTGTGCCATCCTGCCTTGCAGTTGGTGTGTTGGATAGTTGTCCAAGTGAGCTAACTTGTAATCAATAAATCCCAGCATATTTGCATTTGATGTTGGCTCTGTGATGGTCTTTTGGGGCCCCATGACATGAGCATAACACCAGTGCTAAGAGGGAGAAGAAGACAGGCGCCCCTATTCTGAAGATAGAAGGCAATAGACAATTGCCTGCAAAGAGAAAGTTAACCTTCTTCAAAGGGGTCTCTTGCTGATTATATGTATAAACTCCACATCAGGACAAACCTCAACACACAACAGTAGATGGCCAAGACAAAATGAACTCAAAGGTATTTCTGCAACTATTTTTTTTTTACTCATATTGCTTTGTTTGGGCATTTTTTGAATCTTACTAGTCTCTTGCTTATGCATTATGGTTTCTGATTTTATATTTTTATGGGGTTTGTATTGTGTGCTTCTTGAGCTTTGGATTTGTTTTATTCTATTTTTGTTCTGTTTTTTGTAGTTTGTGGGGTTTTTGTTTGCTTGGCTTTTGGGGGGGGATTGGCCTGTTTTCTAAAGAAAAAGATAGAAAAAGAAAGTATGGAATTGGGTGGATAGGGGAGTGGGGAAGATATAGGAGAAGGTGAGGGAAGGGAACCAGAATCAGAATATACTGTATAAAAATTATTTTCTATTAAACACTGAAAAAAGAATATTGTGGATATAATTATCTAATGATGCTATTTACTGTTCAACTAGGTTTTTTAATGTAAAAATATTTATTATTTATCTGTGTGTATATGTGTGTATGTGCATAGAACACAGCCCAAGTATGAAAATTAGAGTAAAATCTACAGTAATTTCTCCTTCCACTATGTAGTTGGGAAACAAATTCAGACAGCCTATCAGGACCATCTTAGGCCCTTTGTAGCTTAGGGATTTTCTTTATTTTGCTTTGGTTTTTGCAACAGGATCTTATACAATACTAACTTGTCTCTAACTTGATAGGTTAGTCAAGTCTGGCCTTGAATTTCTGATCCTCCTGTGAATCATTCTGCCTGGCCTTCAAGTTTTCATTTCATTTCTTTTCTTTCTCTCTTTTTGTAAAATTGTCAGACTTTACCAATGGCTCATATCCTTAATCCTAGTACTGAGGAGGTTGAAGAAGGTGGATTATTATTATGTCTCAAATCAGCCTGGCTATTAGAATGAGGGATACTGGAAAGATAGCTTAATGGGTACAAGTGTCCAGGATTCTTTCAGAGAACCTGAGTAAAGTTCCCAACACCCATATTGGTCTACTTCTAAGAAAATTTCACATCTCTGGTCTTCATGGGTACCTGTATTTATGTGCAAATACCCACACATATACATAATTTCAAATGTGAACTGGCC